GTATCAAGATTCATTTTCAAGTAGTCGAGGTGACAAACACACGTCACAATATGTATATTATTTTATTTTATTTTTTAATTTCTAACATGTTCTTATTTCGATTTACCAACACATAATACTGATGAAAGGTAACTTGTGTTCGATGAAACTAATTAATTTTTTCACCTAAGGTTTATTCTTATTCATTTAAAAAAAAGAATCTAGTTTTCACGTGAAAACTAACAAGTTTTCTGCGAACAAGCTCACAACTTCTGAATTCGAATTCACGTGCAAAGACTAACAAGTTTATTGAAAATAAGTTCACAACTTTTGAATTCAAATTCACATGTAAAACTAACTATCTTTATTAAAAACAAACTCACACCTTCTGAATTTTATTTCATGTGAAAATATTTTACTAGTACATAATTTATTTATTGAATCTAGGTTGTCACGTGGAAAACTAACATATTTTATTGGGAACAAGCTCACAACTTTTGAATATGAATTCACGTGAAAGTTGTCTAGTGAAGCCATAAGTCGTTAGTAATCACGCTATTTGTAAGTCACTGATAGCTACACTCTTTGTAAGTCATTGATAGTTACACACCTCCAAGTCACTAGAGACAATTTTTTAAAAAAGGAATTTATTTTGGTTATCACCTGTAACAACTAACAAATTTTATTGGGAAAAATTCTTAAATTTTGAATTTGAATTCACGTGAAAGTGGCCAAATAAAACAAGCAATTATTGATAGTCACGTTCTTGGTAATTTGCTCAAAGTCACGTTCTTGGTAAGTTGCTCAGAGTCACGTTCTTGGCAAGTTGATCAGAGTCATATTCTGGGTAAGTCGCTCACAGACACATTCCTTATAAGTTGTTGAAAGTAAAGTCTCTTGTAAATTCTGAGAGTTACGCACGGCCAAGTCATTACTGGTGCACACAACTCTATTTATTCAAAATCTTGATGATTTAATTTACTCTATTAAATTTTCATTCCTCTTTCAGTATTTCAACTGTCTTCATCTATCAATATTATTTATTTAATATAGCAGTACTCTTTCGAGCTCATTTTTCCCTATACCTCTGTGCATTTCTTTTGCTAAAGTAGAATCAAGACCCAATTTCAAGTAATTGTGGTGATACACACATCGCCGCAGGTATAAATATTTTGTTTTAATTCTTTTTAATGTCTAACATGAAAGTGGCCTAATGAAGCGACAAGTTGTTGGTTGTCCCGTTATTGATAAGTTGCTCATAGTCACGCTCCTCATAAGTGGCTAACAATCACATTTCTTGTGAATGATAACATTCACAATTTTTGTTACTGGTGACAGTCATGTTATTTGTACATGCTGACAGTTACGCAAAGTCAAAACATTAATGGTGTGTAATTTTATTTATTCAAGATCTTGATTGTTTGAAACTACTCCATTGAACTTTCATTTCTCTTTCAATACTTCAACAATCAATTTTCTCCATCTATCAATTTTATGCATTTAAGACACAAGTACCTTTTCAAACTCATTTTTTTGTACTTTCGTGCATTATGTGTTGAAGTAGAATCAAGATTCAATTTCAAGCAGTCGAGGTCAAAAACACACGTCACTATAGGTATAATTATTTTTTTTATTTCGTTTTAATTTCTAACATGTTCTTATTTCAACTTACCAACATATAATATTGACGAGAGGTTACTTATATTCGGCGAAATTAATCATTTTTTTCACCTAAGGTTTATTCGACAATTTTTTTAAAATGAATCTAGATTTTTACGTGAAAAATTAACAAGTTTTCTGCGAATAAGCTCACAACTTCTGAATTCAAATTCACGTGCAAAGACTATCAAGCTTTATTGGAAATAAGTTCACAATAAAATATGTTTTAGTTTATTTTTTTGTACTTCCGTGCATTTCTTGTGTTGAAGTAGAATCAAGATCCAATTTCAAGTAATTGCGGTGATACACACATATCTACAAGTATAAATATTTTTGTAATTCTTTTTAAATTCTAACATGAAAGTGGCCTAATGAAGCGACAAGTTGTTGACTATCATGTTCTTGGTAAGTCGCTCATAGTCACTCTCCTCATAAGTGTGACAATTACATTTCTTGTAAATGCTGACAGTCACAATTTTTGTAAATGGTGACGGTCACAATTTTTGTACATGCTGATAGTTATGCAATGTCAAATCGTTACTGGTGCATAACTCTATTTATTCAAGATCTTAATTGTTTGAAACTACTACATTAAACTTTCATTTCTCTTTCAATATTTCAACAATCAACTTTCTCCATCTATCAATTTTATTTATTTAAGACACAAGTACCTTTTCAAACTCTTTTTTTTTTGTACTTTCGTGCATTTCATATGCTGAAGTAGAATCAAGATTCAATTTCTAGTAAGCGGGTGATAAACACACGTCGTTATAGGTATAATTTTATTTATTTTTTGATTTCTAACATGTTCTTATTTCAACTTACCAATACATAATACTGACGGGATGTAACTTGTATTCGGTGAAATTAATTATTTTTTTCACCTAAGGTTTATTCTTATACATTTTTTTAAAAAAAAAATCTAGATCTTCACCTGAAAAAACTAACAAGTTTTATGCGAACAAGCTCACAACTTTTGAATTGAAATTCAGGTGCAAAAATTAATAAGCTTTATTGGAAATAAGCTCACAACTTCTGAATTCAAATTCATGTGAAAAACTAAAAAGATTTATTGAAAACAAGCTCACAATTTTTTAATTTTATTTCACGTGAAAATATTTTACTAGTAGATTATTTTTTTAATTGAATCTAGGTTGTCACGTGAAAAACTGACAAATCTTATTAGGGACAAGCTCACAACTTCTAAATATGAATTCACGTGAAAGCTACCAAGTGAAGCGATAAGTCGTTAGAAGTCTTACTCTTTGTAAGTCATTGATAGCTACACTCTTTGTAAGTCGTTGACAGTTACGCACCTCCAAGTCACTAGAAACAAACATTTAAAAAGAATTAATATTGGTTATCACCTGAAAGAACTAACAAATTTTATTGGAAAAAAGTTTACACTTTTTGAATTTGAATTCACGTGAAAATGGCCTACTAAAAAGAGAAGTTGTTGATAGTCACGTTCTTGGTAAGTTGCCCAAAGTCACGTTCTTGGTAAATTGCTCAGAGTCACATTCTTGGCAAGTTGCTCAGAGTCACATTCTGGTTAAGTCGCTCGCATACACATTCCTTATAATTTGTTGAGAGTCACGAATTTAGTAAATCCTGAGAGTTACGCAGGACCAAGTTATTACCGATGCACGCAACTCTATTTATTCAAAATCTTGATTGTTTTAAATTACTCCATTTAATTTTCATTCCTCTTTCAATACTTCAACAATCAACTTTTTCCATCTATCAATTTTATTTATTTAAGACACCAGTACCCTTTCGAGCTCATTTTTTTAGTACTTCTATGCATTTTTTGTGCTGAAGTAAAATCAAGACCTATTTCAAGTAATTGCGGTGATACACACACATTGCCGTAGATATAAATAATTCTTTTTTTTATTTTAACATGAAAGTGGTCTAATGAAGCGACAAGTTGTTAACTGTCACGTTCTTGATAAGTCGCTCATAGTCACGCTCCTCGTAAGTGCTGACAGTCACATTTCTTGGTTGAGGGTCACAAATTTTGTAAATGGTGACTGCCACGATCGGGGAGCATCCCCTATACGTAACCGGAGTCTTTGTCCTTGGTGAGGCTTTAGACTAGCCCTTAGCATACATTATTGCATATCATAAGTAGAGAAAAATGCGGAAAATTTAAAACTTTACCTATGAATGTCACATCCGGGAAAACCCGCTAGACGTAACCGGCAAGTCCTCTTTGAGGACTAAGACTAGCATCTTAGCTTACATTATTACATTCATAGGTCAAATTTAGCAGAAAATTTAAATGTTTTCATTACTTCTACTTGGAGGTTTACATAGACCTCTACATACACATAGTATCACTACAACAAAAGAGACTTTTAGTGGCATTTAATTTTCTTTTTAGCTGCAATTTTTATTGCCACAAAAACCTTTAGCGGTATTTAATATAATCTCATTGCATCTAGTGTCGCTAAAGGTTTTAGCGGCATTTATTTAGCAGCAATAACTATTGCCAATAAAGATTTCATATTTATAAATTATAATTGTCGATAAACGAGACCTATTTTAGTGGGAATTATAATTGACCATTGATTAACCTTAATTCATATGTATAACCAGAGAAATCAATACCGATATAGTAATAGAAGAATTACCAAATTCAAACCACGTCAATTCATTTAAACAAAAGAACAATCAAACTTAATTCATCCACTTTCTTGTCTTCTCGTGGTAAAAACAAATATGAATCATCTATAAGATTGTTGTCAAGTTGCCAAAACAAATTTAAAAATTGTGTTTAGCAATGAAAAAACAAGAAAATTGAGTCACGATCATATGTAATATCCAGATGATCTTTAGTAGAACCAACTTATATTGATATCTGAGGAGAAGGTTGTTGTGCTTCCAGAAACAAAGGAGAAAAATAAGTCAATCAAATTAGAAATCTACTAAAATAAACAGTATGAATAAAACACAGAGAGCATGAATGGTGAAGTTCTAAAGAGCAATGAGAGAAGTCTATGAAGAAGTTGAATTCTTCCTCAGATTTTAAAGTAATTGTTCATCTATATTTCCAGCCAACAAAGAGTCTGGATAAAAAATACAATCAAAGAAAGAACAATGAAGGAGGATTTACCAAAAGATAAAATAGTTGATATGCGCTCTTGTATGGTAAAAGAGATTGCCCTACGACAAGAAACTAATCTAAAGTGTTATTCAGAATAATCACTTTCGTAAGTAATCTCTTTCATATCGCAAATCTGAATGACAAGTAAAAAGTTTGAGTTGTGTGATCCCAATAAAATGAATAATAAAGCATAACGAGTTCCATCAGTAAAGTCTCAATTTAGTGTAATCTTCTGGACAACCATAGCTAGGTGTTTACTGTTATGTTTTCCACAAGCCATAGCATCAAGATTATATTAAGCATGATATGCAGAGAAAAACAATCCATACAACAACTTGAACGAGCCATCCCCTCCTCCTCCAACAGACACATGACTATCAAAATCCAAACTTCCAACATACAATAAATAGAACTTAGAAAATCAAACGAAACCCACAGGACATAGCATCTTGAACACTTACAGACATGATTTTGCAGAGAAAACCACAGGCCTAGTGTTACCTAGAAGGACTACAATGTGACATATCAAAGGCAATAGCCTCAAAATTTAGTATATCAAGGAAATATATTTGTAAATAGACCCTTGAACTACATCCCTGATAGGGAAGGTTTTGCCTATCCTATGACACCTCTAATCTATGATAAAAAATTCAAGATTACTGAAAAAATCACACAAGCTATGACATATATTTCATTCCCTGATAAATGGCCTACAATTTTTTGGAAGGAATCGTTGTGTTCACTAGCATCAGCTATTGAAAAACCACTTTTTTCTTTTCCCAACACTTGAGAATATACATCTCCTTCCCAGGCAACACTGTCATGAGATTGTTCCTCAAGTATCTCATCATTACTCAACTTCTCTTTCATCAAGTCCTGATAATAAATAAGTTTATGATTTTTAATCATGTGAAAAAGTAAAAAATCAGTATAATGAAACTTAAAAGCTTCAACAGGTTAGTGACAATTCACCAATTCCTCATATTTTAACTTTGGAAGCATTTTTTCCCAATCAATTTCCAAGTTGATATTTTCGCAATTGAAAGGTAAAAATGTATAACAAATCTTACAACAACATTTGAAGATTCCTCATTCAATGGTCTACATCTCTAAGCTTTGTATTAATTAATATTTAGATTTTTGCACATGTGGGCTCTATTCCATCTATAGCCTATAAAGTTAAATTGATGCAAATAAATTGGGCATGACCCAAACGAATTGTAATATCTTACAGTAAGTAATGTATGCATTTATACCTGTTCATTCATCAAGGTTGCTATGATTTTGGATCCACCCGTGTGAGCCATTTTTTGGTTAGCTCTACTGATTCTTTTGTTTGACTACGCTTCTAGGATGAGAAATAAAACATCAGTTCCTGCTAGTATAACAACACTTAAGTTCTTTGAAAGAACAAGTAAAAGAACTATGAAGAATCTGCATAACAAATAAAGATTTCATCCCTGATGATGATAAGTGCATAATTTAACTTTTTCACTAAGCGATAAAAGATTCATCTAAGAAGTTCGGGAAAAAGAATTGAGATCTTCTTTATTTTTAACCTGTTTCATTCATCATACATAATCAAAAGGAGAAAAGTAATGTTCACCAAAATATAGATAATAACATCCAAATAATAAAACAAACCAGATATAAGAAGCGCTAACCTGTGTTTTTCAGAAAGCCAATACGAAACGAGACTATTCCATTGATCCCTTGGTATGTGAGCTGGTCTATTTTTCATCAAGGCATCTTTGGTCTTATATTTGGTCACATACATCGCCTTCAAGTCACATTTATAGTCCCTCCATTTTTTCCCTATTGACTTTTTCACGAACTCTTCTCCGCATATTGGAATAGAGAACTTTTTCTGAAAAGATAGACAAAAGTTAACAAGATAATATCATGTATAAAAAAACAATGATACTTGTTAAGAACAATAATTTTATACCTTCACAAATTTCACCAATATTGTCTTTTCTTCGTCATGAACACTCTCCAATCATTTGTATTTGACGGTGTCAAATCTGGAGTTCTAGCAACTATCCCTAGAAAGCTAACCAGTTTTCGTCCCTCTTTTCCGATTGACTGATTACGACTATTAAATGACACAACAACTTTTTTAGGTGGTAGATTCCATACATCTTTTAATAAAGTAGGTCAACGAACTTTACTTGTCTTTGAAGGACCTGAAATAAATTCAAAACTCACTTGTGACAGTTTTTAGGGAAAGAATAAGTACAATGCAACAATCAAGTTAATAGTGCAAAATGCAAAATAGTAATAGATACATTCTCATGTATCTAGATCTTATTATGAAGATAATCTATAAATTCAAGTTTAAAAAAAAACATGGCTCATTATTCAGCTCAGCAACGTCAATAGAATTGGTATCCTCAGATGTTTGGACTTGGGAGCAACTCTGAGTTTTCATTAATTGTTGAATGTAGGGTCGTACTTCTTCATCATGACATTGTTCAGTAACTAATCGACTACGAACCGTATTTCGCATTTTTTGTTCTTCAAAACTAACTGCTTATATAGTTTCTTCTAACCTATAGGTGAACTAACTCATAGTGGTCAGAAAGAGGGAGTGAGATTTCATCAGTTTATTTATTGTGAAGCAAAGTAGTGAGAATCTCTAGGAAAAATGTTATAGGAATAGGCTAAATATAGACCAAGATAGAATAAGATCCTGGAAGAAAACTACTGGAAATTACTTGAAATTCACTATCAAAATCAACAGATTTGGAGATATAAACAGAAGATAATTCATTACAGTAGGAGAAGAAATTTTAAGCAAAAGTCTAAAGACTCCTACTAGTTTTACTTCTTAAAATTAAAATCAAAGTGGCCCATTAGAAAACAAAGAGATGCTTATTGTTTGGACAGGAAAACAGTCTGAACAGTGCCTGATTTACCTTTTTCAAACATATTCGAGTTGAAATGAGAAGCAAATAATGATAACAAACGTTTAAATTCTCTCGATTCTGTGGAAAATAAAGCCAACTTCAAATTAAGCTAGTTCATTCCATGATATCAATATTTTAATCTATACAACTAAACATATGAACAAGCTTAAACATGTGATTTAGACAAAAAAGAAAAGGAAATTAAACTTGAGCAAAACAGAATGCAGGAAACGGAACTAAAAATACAGTAACCAAAAGTTGAATTCTAACAAACAACATGAACAATATGAGCTGGAAAAATCTAAATAAAAAAAAGTAAGTTATATGGTATTTAACAATTAACCTACATGAATGTAGACCTTACTGACACTTAACTTGAATTTTCACAAAAGAGAGCATTAAGAGAAGTAGTGCTTAGCTACACGGGATTCACCTTAAGGAACAAACAACATGCAGGTTTCAGAGTAAAGTAGCCTGAATTAATTACATATATTTAGCTATAGGGTATCTCTTTACATATATATAGAGAGAAAAGGGATGACATAACACTAGTCATAATTAATTACTAGCCACATACTACTAGCACTAGAGATGCAGAGGCCAAGACCCAGCGCAACAATTTTGATTTCAACATTGTCTCATTTTTCTTAGATGTGCGAATTTGTTGACAAATCACGACGCTATTGAATAAAATTACTAAAGCAAACTAATCATTAATAGATTGAAAAACTAGCTATAAGTGGAGGAAATGACAATGGGTGTATACAAGGATGTGGTAAATTTTCTTCTTGTAGAGGTGTTGTGTTATGGAGAAGTGTTAAGAAAATCATTGTTACAACATTCAGAATGAAAGTTTAATTTATAGCATGCTATGAGGCCTAACGAAGCACATTAACATAAAATACTATTTGATGGTTAGAGACTATGTTAAGAAGAAAGATGTGAGTTTTTGAACATATCAGTAGTACACTATGATGATAGCTGATCCTATGACTAAAGGTTAACAAGCTAATGTTTTCAAAGATCATGTAATCTGTATGGGGCTTAGTAGTTCATAGAGAAAATTTGTTGAATGTGTATTTTATGTCTACTTTTATGAGTAAAGTAACAAACTTCCTTCAGGTAATGCCTAAGAGACAGCAGTGTGGACTGCAAACAAGAAAAGTCTTGTTGTCCCGAGCAACGTTGTCTTGCTCTTAACTAGTGATGGAAGGCTCATTATGCTAGTAGGAGGCCAGAAAATCTATGTATTAAATCGATCTCGAGCCATTGCTTCAGCTTCCATGATGGACATGAAAAATTTTGTGCTCTATGATTTAGATTGCAATGTCATTTCATTTAGCGAAGTTTTGACCATCCAACAAACACACTTTTACATGGTCAGCATATATCAGCTGAAAAAGAGTTGTTCCTGAGTGCCTCGGAAGCATATAATTTATTCGGGATTTTCTGCCTCAAAATGCAAAATGATGGGAACTTTTTTCAGTACCCTAACCATATGAGACTACATAGGAGAAAGGACCACCATCTATATGCTGATAATCTAATGCAATTAGGGCTTAGAACAACACACAATGCACAGAATACAACTCGCTCAGCAAACTACAACACACTACATTCCTCATGTATCACAATTTCATTACTCATACGAAAAACAATCATTATCATCCAATCACATTCAAGACAAAAGAATCAGAACACATCGATGTACCTTGAGGTGGTGACAAAGGGTTAGCAATCCACGGAGGACGAAGGAATCAGAGATGGAGATTACAAAGTCAATAACTAAGAAGATTTCAGATCAATTTTGTAAATCTCGAAGCTGTCGCTTCAGATGAGAATTGTGAATTGGAGAATGAGAGATCAAAAATTTTGGTATTTGGGAATTTTGTGGATGAAAAATACAAAATTTGGATTTATTATTAGGTATTTTAAGCAAGTGTAGTGTGTATATATATATCGAGTATACATAGACCCTCGTATAGAAAGATTACTTAGTTTTCTACTTTTATCGCATATAGATATATAAAATATAACAGTCTCAATATAGTCGTCTCATCTCATGACCATATAACAAGAATATATTAAATTGGGTCTAGCCCGTACATCAATAAAATAAGACCACATATAGGTCAACAATGTTTAGTACTCAAATGAAAGGAAAGAAACATAAGAGTCATAATACTAAAACAACTTCATACCTTGATATTGGCATTGTTCTCGGAAAGTGAGGACCTACCCAACTTGGATGATCAAGAATTCCAAGTCTTTCTCAAAGTCGTCTCCAAAAGCCCTTCAACCACCCAAACCTAAAATATTAGGGAAAAGGAAGAAATGGGGTTAGTACATCACTTGTACTAATATGAGACCATATGCACACATACTTTGAAATCATGCTAAGAAAAGAGACATTTCAATAAGTATGCACTTTTCATTAAAAACATTTATGCACATTCAACATGACCATACCAACCAATAGACCATGTTCATTAAGTCATAGGCATGTACATCACAAGAACAACGACGTCAAGTCTAGTCAAGTCAACATGCATATCATATAATTGAATATATAGTCAAGTCACTCTATCATCAAGTCATAATAGCAATAATCATGAATAAGAGTACATTTCAACACCCAAAGCAAGACACTTACCCATGAACCTATCAAGTCAACAAGTGCAATGACCAAGCAAAGCCCCATAACCTAACTCAATCAAGTAAACCAACAAGAATCTTGACTAGCATCCTACTTCACATAGAGTAGCATTTAAGAGTACATGTCGTCTTACTTTAACAATGTAGACCAATACATATTCATAAGTGAAACTAATCAACATATAGTATCAACGATGTGCAAGTTCTTCATACACATATCATATACCATCATAAGTATATTCATACATAAGAATATTCTCCTAAGACTTCCCTCAAGGCTAACTAATGCAATGTTTAGGTAGAGTCTCATACTCTTACCTAGACTAAGCTAAACCCCTTAGGTTATCTTAATTAAAGTTCATTCCTTTAATTCATTTTACCTTTTGGGAACATCTTGCCCTAACTGACATAGACCACATGAGCTAATATGGAATCCGGTGTCATGGAACCCTACACTGAAAGAAGGCGGACTACTTTCCAAGGTAGTACAAATCATGAACATAGCAACTACGTGGATCCACTAGCTAGTATTCATATGGGGTCAACATAGTTCAAAAACTAGGAGATATAGTTGGGACCCTTTTTATACTACATGCATTGTAGTGTCCAATCTCAAGAGTACATTAGTGATCCTACCTTCCCTATGTGGGAAATGACACTCCTCACTCTAGTTCACTCGGTGCTAAGCTAGAGTCCCTTTTGAAATGTCTTTATTAATCACTATAGCTTATTGTAGGTCTAGGGTCTAACCCTTGTATAAACATCATCATAGCTCAATAATAATTGCACGAGTATTGTCCTTTCATTACAATTCATATAGGTGAGGTTAACACATTAACATTTTCATATCATGATAAGGCACATTGGTAAATCATTCACCATCCTTATAACATTTACATCTTAAGCCAACACCTCACAAATCATAGTCAAAACTTACCAAGTCTCCTTCATAATTCATCATCAAGCTCTTACCATCAACCCTTACTTCAACCCAATTAAGGTATAACATCATCATAATTCAATTATCAACATGATAACACGGCTAAAAGAATCACTACATCACAATTCAATACTAGTTCATATATAGCTTAAGACAAGATACTTAGGTCAAACTCACAATATACTTCACAACCTAGATCACTTCTCAAGAACTAGCATGAAAGGACTAACCCTAATTCATTCATAATTAGTATAACAACATCATCTAGTAGTAATAGAACCAATAACCAAGTCAATTGAACCAATATAACATAATTCATATCAAGATCATTACCTAGGGTTAAGGGGTAAAGGTCATCTTCTACAAACTAGACTAAACCATCAAGATATATCATAATTAAGTTAGAATACACGTTATCTATTCATAATATCCAAAAGAAATTATAAACCAATCAATTCATAACATCAATTTGAGATTGGATGAAACCCACTTGAAAACTCAACTTTTGAAATCAATTTGATGGAACCCTTTGAGGAAAGAAGTCTCAAAGGTGAAAGAGATCACATACCTTACTAATTGATGGTGAAACTTGACTCTTTGCAGCCCCTTAAACCCTCCCCTATCTTGGTCTTCAATGGAGTTCTTCACTAGAGAGAGAAAGAAGAGAGAAGGAATAAAATTTGGTTTTTGTGAGTCATGAGAGTTTAAATTAGTCTTAATTAGGTTAGGACTTTATATAGGGTGTTAACTTAGACCTCCCCAATCCCCCAACTAATTAACTAACCCTCTAACTAATTAATTTTAACTAATTAAAAATGTGCAAAATAGTGAGGCCCTCACAGACGAGACCTCTACCAACGGTCCGTCTGTGAGTCGATGACTCCTACCCCCTTCATGATGCACATCTGTTCAAAGAGTCCCTTCAAGGATTTGGCTAAGTATTGGTGTACGGATGGCATCGACGTCCCGTTGATCCACACACGCTCCGTCGTTTCCCTTCGTGGGTGCACACTACCAGGCAGTCTTTGGCCCCAAAATGCAAGGGTCCTCCTCATGGGCCTTTGGTTGGTCCTTGGGGAGTCGTACCCGGATGTTTCGACTATAAATCAACTTAAACACATGTTAGACACCCTTCCACCAATTTTCATCATTTTTCGACTTTTAAACGCTAGTCAAATAGGTTAAGGTACGCTAGCACCTCATTGAACTAGTTTCCATACGTTATGGATGTTCTTGGACGTTTTGGTTTCTAGACTTTCTAAATGACTTATATTCATTAAAACAGACCCTAAAATAGTGTATAAACCTTGGGACACTTATGTTAGGCTCTAGAACACATCTTGAATTTTTGAAGTGTTACAATGAAGTATACATAGACTTCTCATTCAACAATATAATCAATTAATTAAAGTAGTCTAATATTGTCTCATACATAAACCATCTATAATAGAAGTATAAGATTTGGGCAATAGCACTTACACTATTAAGATATGCCTCATATAGGCTTGCAACAAAGTCTCAAAGATAACGAAAGAACAATTATCTTAGACATAGTCAATACAAAGAAAGTTAGAAAAGTGGAATCATCCTTAGACTTGAGGGCTCACCAACAACTTGGGAAAAGATCCAAGTCTTCCTCGCAAATGGCCTTGAATGCTCTTCAATGGCCCGAACCTATAGGAAAAGTAAAGAGAGTATCGGTTAGTACAAATCACATGTACTAAGTATGGCTCCTATGCATAAAGTTCATCAATACATGCATAAAATGACATTTTAGTCAAAATATGTGTTTTACCAAGTAAATGTAATATACACAAAAAGTAAGTATTATAAGCGAACCCAACATGGTATCAACCCAACATGTTGACAACCCAAGAAATATTTGTGCAATGCCAAGAATAGAACCCAATAATCCTAGTCTAAGCTAGGTATCACATTAAGCAACCTATTTCATACATGCATTTATAATCTCCTACTCCATCACAACTTGTCATACTCGTAAAGATCATATATAACTTGACACACATAACACATAATCAACTTAATCATAAAATAACACTACTAGAACCATTCCTTAGGATCCCACAAGTGCAATGTGTAAGAAAAGTCTCATACCCTCCCTCACACTATGTAGATAGCTTTAGTAAGAGTTAACACACTTCCTTTATTCCTTTACTTTTACATTAGTGAAAGAAGTTACAATAACTGACATTAGACCATGTGAGCTACATGGAATTTGGTGTTCTACTCCCACACTGAAAAGAGAGGGTTAACACTTGCCTAAGGTGTAACCTTTCGTATATAGCTATCTAGTTGGGTCCACTAAGCTAGAGTCCTATGTGAGTACATAGTTAAGGGTCAATAAGATTGTTACTAGAAACCCTTACTTACTAAACATGGGGGTTTCCATCTATGAGACAACATACACTGGGAATCCGGACTTGCTAAACGTGGGAAAACACATGTGGGAAGTCGGACTGACTAAACGTGAGACCCCCATCTCATTTACATGCCCTTTCGGTGCTAAGCATCTACTCTATTTAGTAGTCATCTTTAGTCATCAATTAGGTTCACATTAGCCTCTACTAGACCCTTATGTAACCATCTCATCATAATAGCTTATAGGTGATCATAAGTGAAACCAATCCATTCACTTTAGAAACACTAGCAAGTGAGTAAACCTTTCACTTTAACAATTCATTATAATCATAAGAATTACCTTTCAATCATATAATAAACCTAACATAACATACATTCATACTTCATAGCTAATTCAAGATTATAGGGTTAAGGATGAGGTAACCTTGTCATCAAACAACACATTAACTACAACATTATTACTAACCAAGTAATTCATCTAACATAATTAAGTTCAAGAAAGAACCAACATTCATACCTTCTTGCTCTTCATGGGACTTCATACTTTAATCACCCAAGAATGCATAATCAATACACAAAACAAGGTAATTCGAGAAGCAATTACATAATTAACATCAATGTAGTCAAACAACATATTCATTCACCTTCACAATTCACCATATTAATTCAAGGTTTTCATGAAATAGGGAAAGAACATGGGTCCATGGAAATCTTGAGTGAATAACAAGATTAACCATCAATATATACTTAAACAACATTAATTGACCACAATTCACCACAATTGATTCTTAATTTCGTTTTTCAAAGAAGACACAATGTGTAGAGAAAACCGCTAGTTTTGGGAAGTTTGAAAAACTCTTTGAAAGGACCTCTTGGGGAAAGGAATCCCAAGAGTGAAAGAAAACATACCTTAACCAAGACTTTAGCCACCAATTTGAGTAGAAAACTTGGGAA